CATATTTAACAGCATAAGTTATGTACATTTCTAAATATAAATTTAACTTAAACAAATATCGATATTAAAACATGTATATAATAGTAAACCCGTCACAATACATATCGACATTTATTCAATTTCTAACTCTAAATTATAATTTAACTCAGTTTCAAGCTATTCGAAATTATAATGCGTTATGTAATACATTAGATGCTCCTCCGGGATAAACTGTAATACGTAACACACTGTAATGAATGTAATTTGAGAAAATTTAAAATTCTAAAAGAAGCATGTTTTCCCCTTTTTGGGAATGTAATGTAAGACATAAAAGATTATTTTTTGAAAAAATATTTTGTATTTTTTGTCCCACTGTAAATAGATAGTAGTAAGAGGGCAGAAGTAATTGTGAAACTGTGAAAACAGTTGCTAACTAAGACTTAAAGAAAAGAAAAAGTAAATAATAGTATGAAAATTAATAGGATAAATAAATTGCATTTTCTATTATTATAATAAGATAAAGGATAATTAGAATAAGATTTTAATTTAAAAAGGAAATTATATTGACTAATTTCATTTATTGTGGAGTATTTGTAATGTACTTAATATATACATGGAGTGTATGTGTTATGTGTTTGTACATTTGGAAAGTGTATATATTTAATTTAGATTATTTATGCTTATTTGAAAAACGGTATTTGTATGTTTTTCTTACAGATTCTTTGTAAAACTATTTTTTTTGAAGAGTGACCTTTGAAGTCACGAAACCGGTAGAAGAAATTAATAACGAAGGAAAAGAGTCTGATATTGGACTGTTTTCTTATATTTGTGAGTGAAAGAGAGTTTATCATTCATTTGCATTTTCAGTCTGAAATAAATGAACAAAGAATGGATGACAACCATGGAAGGTCAATCTAGTTCTCTTTCATTCTGACCATATTAAAATAACCATGTGATATAATAGTTATTCAGCGCAGATCATTCATATGTTCCAACTATATGTTTAGAGCCACATTATATAGATTACAATACATTTTTCTTGCCAGCGGGAGGTGTGTTAAAAGCTAGATTGATTATTAACGTTTTTGAACTCCATTGACCACTGTCATGTCTTACATCCATCAAAAGTCCCTGTATTTCTTTTGTTGTTGTTGTTGGTTTGTTCGCGAAGCGATGACATCCTTCAATCCCTTACTGTCTCGAGACTGTCTCGTATTCGAATGTATAGATTTTAATTATTTAAAATTAATTCAAGAACGTTAACTTCTTCGTAGCATCCATCTTTAGCATCAACTTGTTTAAAAGAAAGTTGAGATTAAGTAAAAATTTGATTTGAAAAGTTACATACTAACCTCCGGTAACAAATGCTACACCTGAAAGCGTAAGTAGTATTTTTTTTACTACAAAAAATCATAGAACCGAACTTGTCAAAAAGTTTCGATTGACAGAGAATGAAAACGACATTGAGATTAAGTTTAAAGGATTAATAAACGGATACATCAGAATGATCTGTGGTTTCCAAATTTTGTTCCGTGGAACCCCAGAGTCCCGCAAAGGGTCATTAGAGGTTTCCTACAAATGTAACAGGTAATGGCCTTTGTTTTTTCTTGGTTTTTCAATTACTGAGTGTTAACCCGTCAGGGACCAAATATATTTTTTAAAATCACAAGTCAGTTGATATTCACTCTTAATATTTTTGTATAGTTATTTATAATTTTACATTAGCAATTCTGTTACGAACTAGGCTAGCTTTTAAGGGTGGGTTAAGGGTTGGGGTTTCGTTACGGAAGTAATGAGGTAAAAGGGTTTTATGGCTTCGTAGAGTTTGAAAACCACTGAAAAAGATCTGTAGATATAAAACTTTAACAGTAAAACAGCCTACATTCAGAAGTTTTAAAAATCCAGAAAATAGCTAACGTGGTATCATCACCTAACTTTGGCAAAATGTTGTTTTATTGAATATTTTTCTATTGCATTTCAGCTATTTTTTGGATTTTTAAAACTGTGTAGTGTGTGGGATACCTCTAGCATCTATATAGATTCCAAAGGATCAGTGCCGGATTTAGACTGGGCGAGGTCCTAAGCTCATAAAGCTTGGAGGCCCCTTATTAAAAAGTTACATCAGAAGGTCTCACAAAGGTGCGTACCAAATCAGGACATTGGGTCGCCACAAAAAAATTTAAAACATGTGTATGCCTTTTAATTATTTAATAGCAAGGTATTTAAAGTGAAAAATTATATATTTATCATTTGTCTGGCTTGATATCTCTCATAGATAAAATTTTAAAGGCAAAAAAAAATCTGAAATTTTGTGAGGCCCCTGCGGATTGTGAGGCCCTAAGCTGTAGTTTGTTTAGCTGATGCCTAAATCCGGCACTGCGAAAGATATATATAAGTATAATCATAACAAAGTCTCAATAAACACATAAGGTACATCAAGCACACACACACACACACACAACGTAAAAAAACAACAAAGGATAAACATGTTTAAATGTTTACAAAATAAAAGTTACAAAGGTTACAGAGTAAGACAGATTCATGGAATGCGAGACCGGTTTCTAAACAGACAACAAAATATAGTCTAACTAATACTCTAATAAATAGGTAAGTAAATTGAAAACTATTGATTTATGTATAATATCTTCGGAAAGAACTGCTGTATTTGGCTATACGTTAGCAGACACGTCTCTTATTGGTTTTGTGCGAAAAGACATAATCGATAAAAACGTCATGAATAGCATGTGGGCTATAAAGTTAGGTTTACTTAACGTTTATTGAACATTAATTAAAAATTACGCTTAAATTTTTGTAGCAAAAAAAAACTTTAAAATGCTCTTAGAAAGTTTATTAAGTTCCTTTTATGTAAAGTTTTCAGTTTTTTTTTTAACCACGTGCAGTTTATCACGCAGAGAACTTGGAATACAACTTGATTATATACACATGCTACTACTGTTTCTGGAAGGATACCATGCAGCCCCATCTCGTGTTTGGTGTGTAACTGAAACCTTAGTTATTTCAAAGCCTTGTGATAAAATTTTACAAATATAAGCCTATAAGAGGGATGGCAGTTTGAGCACAGTTCAGTTGGGGCAAACGATTTTCTGAAAACGCTTGAGCTTCTGTAATCGTAA